AAAAAAAAAAAAAGAATAACAACGGCACCCCCAACATAGCCTAAAATACTGAAGATGTTTCTGAATTGGTACAAAATCACAAACGATATAGATCATCTGTTTCTATATTCTTCTTCAACTTGATAACCGCGCTTCTTCAAGGAATGGGAAAGGAAATTAAAAAACAAAATGATGAGTATCACCATAAACACCTGTGACAGCTTTCCTGGATTCTATTTAGGTGTGCAGCAATTCATGGGGGCAGGGGCTGTGACACTACTCCAACACTCTCCCTCACTGCCATCCAGTCAGCGCTGACTCACAGACCTTAGGGAGCAGGGTGCAACGGCTGAGGGGTTTCAGGCTGTTTGCAGGAGGAGAATGCCTGTCTGTCTCTCGAGGAGCAACTAGTGATTCTGAACTGCTGACCTTGTGGTGAGCAGCCCAGCTCCTAACAACTAGGCCCTGGGCCTCTTCTCATTTAAAGCTAGGAAGCTTTTCCTGATTGCTTCTCCAAATGTAATTCTTTCTTCCTTTTTTAAATGCAGACCTTCTCCTTCCATTGGTGGAGCCAGAAGTTTGGACATCCTCAGGGCTATCTTTTCGTGAGCCAAGACAAGGGCTTGCACTGAGCTTTCTGAGCTCTGGACCCGAGATAACAGAAACGGACTTCTGTTACATGAATATAACCATTCTTTTCCAGAGGCAAATTATTAATAGGTCCTTAAAACCACCTGTGCATTCTTAATTACGTATGTTCAAAGGTAGAATGAGTGTGTTTAGTAATAAGACTCTGTTAAGGGTGGAAACCTTTTCTGTCATTTAATATGACACTTTGTATCACACAGATACCTTTTACTTCAAAGTGATCTAGAAACAAAGATTTGGAGCCGGAACTTGACAATACTCAAAGATGATGACAATCCGTTTTAAGAGTGTATCTGGACAATGATAACCTCCTGTTTGGTATTCTGTTTCTATATTGTTGGTTGTCGTTTTAAAGTGATACTTTGTACATGAAATGCAGGAGAGGTAAGTCTCTAGACACAGTAACTGGAAATGGCAGGGGAGGGAAGGTATGGCAGGGAAGGTTGGGGGAAAAAGGGGAGCGAATAACGATGAGTACAAAAACAAAGAAAATGCTCTAAAATGGATTGTGGTGATAACTGTATAGTTTTTGATGCGATTTAACTATTTAATTGTATGATACGTGAATTATATGTCAATGAAACTATTTATCGTATATACTCTGGTATAAACCGACCCACATATCAGCCGAGACACCTAATTTTACCACAAAAACTGCATTAAAAATGTGCTGAAAAACTTGGGTTATGCACAAGTATATACGGTAAAATAAAATTGTGACAGAGCACAAACCATAGGAAACCAATGCTCCCATCCAATCTACACCTGATTTTTTTTCTTTCAATTGTCTTATGAATTTAAATTACTTTTAAATTACTCTTATGAACTTACAGCTTGCTTTGCTTGCCTTCAAACAGGCAGATACATTTCTTTAACACTAGGCAGAAAGGTCTGAAATCTATATAAGCTGCAACCATATCATTTAGCATCCTGAAATTGGTTAATGATTTTTAAATCTCTTGAGCAATGTAGGTTTCAAGACCTAGAGGATAAAAGAAGTACACAATAGCCTTTCTGACAATTTTAAGTAAACTGCTTGAAATGATTTCATTAGAAAAATAACTACACAAATACATGTTGACATGCATATAGGACCTGTACTGATTTCTGTCTTCTGAGAGCAACACAAATAAGACAGAAAAAGTTCACAAAAACCAGAGTCTGACCAGAATGCAAATAAAAATATAATAGATGATTAAAAATATTTTTAATGGTTGTTTTAAAAAATATTAAGTTATTGAATTTATCACAAACATATGGATCTTTCTAATTAACCACTGCCCTCAAGTGGGTCTGACTCAGAACAACCCTGTCTAGCGCCTCTGAGGCTTTTGTAAATACTTATGGGAGCAGACAGTCTCAGTGTTCTCCTGGAGAGTGGCAGGTGGGCTTAAACCACTGACCTTTTGGTCAGCAGTCCAGTGCTTACCTGTCAGTGCCACCAGGACTCCTTTTTTCAATCTAAGAAAACTTCTGATTTAATTTAAACATAAAAATTCTAAACATACTGACTGATCTTCATTTTTACTAGCATGTACAATAAGTAAATCTTGGCTGAGACATTCCTATTTAGAGATTATTATACCAAGCAACAAACATACACATTCAATACACAAAATACACATACATAAATGATACACACAATTATAGTAGAATGGTCCCTTGACAGGAAATCTATTCTGTTGATTTAGCTTTCTATTTAACACTACTTATAAAGTGCAAAGGATTTGTTATTCGAAGTCAAGCTGCCGAGAGTACCAAAATGAAAAAGCTGTGACTAGTCATACGTCAGTCTACTGTGTGTACCAGTGCTCTAATCTCTTTAAAACTTTATATCGGCAAGGCACAAATACTGATACTTTGGGGTGCATGACTCAGAATAAATTCAGTCTAACCAGTATGACTATGGATTCTGCTTCAATAAGTAGAATAACAAGCCTGGTATTTGACCTTAATGCACAAAGTCAAAATTCCACCTGCTGAAATGTAGCTTTGCTGTGGGCTGAGTCAAGGAAGCAAATACATCAATAAAGCTCCAAAGCAGTCGAGTGACTCATTAACTTAGAAGGTAAACATATTTTAAAGATTATGATGCTCGGGACAAGAAAAGGATAGCGTCCTGAGATAGGTCAGTTTATAGCAGCGTCCAGATTTCAGCCTCCCACACATAATCGTTAGATGTTCAGCCTCCACCCTGTTTGTATATGCCCTTCCAGTTATACTTGCTTGTATGTATCATTCTCAATTGGTAGTAGATCGTATGCCATTGCCTGAAAGGTCAGTTCATGCAGGACAGTGGAGACAGGATCAAAGCCACGGTCAATTATCAAGAGCTGGGAATGTGTTTTCCCCTAAAATTACAAGACAGAAAATGCCTTAAGAAACTTTCATTTCTTTGTGTACACATATTTCTTAGAAAACAAGAGATTTCCCCTAAACTCCACTCTGTCCCTTCTCTCCATAAATTAAAAAAATGGCTAATTGTCTTCAAAATGTAAAGTTATCTTTTAAAAATAAGCTGAGTGGCACAATGAGGGGGAAGAAAACAAGACCACACAGTCACTGGCTTTCGTAATTAGACTAAAAATCTATACTCAGTAAGATACTGTTCTGAAAGTACTTTTTAAAAAAATCAACATTTGGCATGCACTAAATCTAGTCTCTTGTGAACTCAGCTCTATAAATACTAAAACTGATGTAAATTATGAGTAATAGCTGCTACATGTGCTCGTTCTGCTAAACATTGTGCTCGGGGAGGTATTTCACTTATTCTCAGAGCACCCCTGTAAGACAGGATGAAATGCAGGCAGGAAGGCTTGAGATTCAGTAAGGTCATGGAGAGTAAGTGACAAAGTGTAGATCTGATCCCAGATCTGCTTCATTCATAGTCAGTGCTCTTAACCACTCTGCTATTTTAAAAGATTATATTCATGCAAGCTAAGACAGTAAATCACAATTGAAGTCTTATTATCATTTATTCACAAACAGCATTCATCACTAAACTATGAATGGTGATGAGAAAAATTATTGCTAATATCAGTATTTTGCATAATTTATTTTTAAACAGTAATTTGGACATATTTTCAAAGCAATGAGATTACAATTAATTTCTCTTTAGTTACATGTAACAATGTAATATAAATTACTTATGTTAGATTTTTTTTACATGTTAATTATTCACATATTTAAGTCAACTTTGAGACGTATTATATAGTGGTTCAGAGAATAGTCTATAGCATCAGACAGATCTGTGGTTGAATCCACCACTTTCTTACAAGACTGGGTAAGCTTAACTTGTTTACAATCCCAGTATCCTTATTTATAAAATGAAATACAATAATAGAACCTATGCCTATGTTTTTATAAACATCAAATGTTTCTGTAAACATCAAAATGTTTCTATAAACATCACGTTTCTGTAAACATCAAATGTCAGAAAACTATGATTCATTTAGCTTGGTGCCTGGCTTTCAGTAAGCCCTCAGTAAATTGGAGCTCTGCGTCTTCAGACATACAAGAAGGAAAAACACAGTGCTGTATAAGTGCCAGCTTGGAGATTAGGGCAGCCTGGGGAAGGTAGTATCACTGGGCCTAGAGTCAAGAGAGGTTTCAAAAGGCAGGTGACACTTTAGCAAAACATTGAAGAAAAAGGATCAAGCATTTGAAGAATGAGTATTTCCCTAGCGGAAATATTAGAAAGGACACATTTATTCTTTGTAGTTTTGTCCCCCCCCCCCCTACTGAAATGGCTTAAGACTGACTAAAGCAACAGTCACTATACCACAGTCCATGTCTCTTCCTCCACTGAGAAAACATTTATTGCACTACTAAATGCACCAAGCCATCTGTCTTCATAATGACACTTAATACACTGAACCAGTAACTTTAGAAGTTCTAAACTAACATAATATCTGAGTTCAGACATTTCATCATAACCAAGTTGTCTTTTTGGGTGAATTTTGACTTTTTTTTTTTTCTGTTTCTGCTCAAAGAATCTTAATATCCATGCAATAAACTCTCTTCTGCTCTGCTAGATTTAGTCAAGCTCAAGGGCCTCTTCTGGTGGATGCCGTTCAAGACCGCAGCCTGGTCTGGCCTATGTTCGTATTACACTTGAAGCTTTTTTCTTCATTTCCTCGCCTCTCTCTCGCCTCATCTATCAACAGTTCGGTCCTTCGATTCTCCAGCTTCTGTCATATGGCTTCCTAACCCTCAGGCACCACATCTTTCAGGCCCCTCAGGCTCCTAAAATGCTGATGTTCTCCACGTTCCACGCTTAGCCATCTGTCACTTTATAATCTGAATAAGAGACAGTAACAGCTGTCATTTATTAAATTGCTATACCTGCCAACACTTACATATGTACATGTTGACTCATTCAATTCTCATACCAGTCAAGCAAGGGAGAGACTTTATAAAATCCATTTAATATATGGAAAACAAACTCAGGTAACTAATTTAGCCATGGTCACAGGCTAATAATAATAGAAATATCTGACATCGATTACGTAAATGTTTATTTACTGGTAAGCATTGTTCTAAGAATGTTAGATGTCAATCCTCTCAATGCTCAATGTCATAAAATAGATCACCGTATACTATCTCATATTATCTGAGATACAGAGAAGTTACACATAACTGGGTTAAAGACAGGGCCAAGATTTGGACACAGTGCTGACTTTAAAACTCGTATTACCTCCCATCAAAACCAGACAGTCCATTATAGTGTCTGCCATACTTATGGTCATGATTTCCATATCAATATTAGTAAATTAACAAACAACAGTGCTTTGAGGGTACAAAGGACTAAGAAGGACTTTATGTACAATACCTTTATTTGGCTCTTTTCATCCAGTTTGTAGTAGTTTTCAAGTTTGTTTTCAACAAGCTGTGCAAGTTTATTGGCATTATCTAAAGGTTTGCTGGAAATGAAAAGTTTAAACAATTATTCTTTTAGGTCATAATTCACAGTATCATAAAATCAAAGTTTAAAATGAAACCAAAAAATGTCTTAATCTGAACATTTTAATACATGGAAAAGTTCAGATAATAAAATACCAAATGTGTATTTTATGAAACCCCGATGCCTGGAATGTAATGGATCCTGGTGGCATAGTGGTTAAGCACTTGCCCGTGAAATGTCAGCACACTCCACTGAAGAGGTAGCAGCCCGCTGTTGTAAAGACTAGTCTTGGCAGCCCTATGGGGCGATTCTACTCTGTCCTACAGGGTCACTAGTTAGAACTAAGTCAGAATTGACTCAACAACACTGGGTTTGGTTTTTTAAGTTTGCTTGGTTTGGAATTTACAAATGTAAATGTCCTAAGTTTCAGATATACTTAATATAAAGGAAATAAAGTATTATAAATAGAGTTGCCTTTTCCTTTCTTCCTCAAATCCTAGTCCTCTCCCTTACATCTAACCCAAAGCAACCACTACTATGGATTTAGCGTATTCCTCCAGTCATTTCTCCATGCCCTTCCACACACCCACTCTTCACGTATCCATATGGTTAGGTTCCACAGAATGCTAGCAACCCTATAAAACAGAGTAGAACTTCCCCATAGGGTTTCCAAAGCTATCACCTTTACAGTAGCTAGCTGGTAGCTTTGGAGGGCCGACCTCTTGCGGGCAAGTGCTTAACCAGTATGTCACCAGGATCCATTGAATTCCAGACATATGTTGTTGTTGCTGTTAGGTGCCGTCGAGCCCGTTCCGACCCATGGTGACCTATGCACAATAGAATGAAACAGCGCTTGGTCCTGAGCCAGCCTTATCTCCCTGAGCCTGTGATGGCACCATAGGTCAGTCCATCTCGCGGAGGGCCTTCCTCTTTTTGCTGCCCCTTCACTTTACTAAGCATGATGTCCTTCTCCAGGGACAAGTCTCTACTAACAATACGTCCAAAGTATGTAAGATGAAGTCTTGCCATCCTTGTCTCTAAGGAGCACTCAGGCCAAATTTCTTCCAGGACAGATCGGTTTGTCCTTTTAGTAGTCCATGGTACTTACAATGTTCTTCACCAGCACAGTTAAAATGTATTGATTCCTCTTTGGTCTTCCCTATTCAATGTCCAACTTTCATAAGCATATGAGGTAACTGAAAATAACATGACTTGGGTCGGGAGCATCTTAGTCCTCAAAATTACATCCTTGCTTTTCAATACTCGAGACATAATTAAATATGCATTTGATATACTATTAACTGAACTTTTCCACATTTATTAAAATATTCAGATTGTTATGTGAAAATCAGCATTATGGAAAAAGGGATTATGACATTAGGTCATAAAATAGAAAATAACTACATCATTACATAACTGTCATATTTCATCATTATGTAAGTGCCCAATTATGGCTTTACATAACTATTTCATAACTATAAAATCAAGGCCCAGCCAAATTGCCACATACCCTTAACCAACACATCCAGCATTACTCTCACCATGGTGTGTGCTAAACTCAGATGTATGCTGTTAATGGCAAAAATAGTTGGATAACAGATCTTTTACTACTGTCAAAAATGCAAAACTTCAAGCAATATGAAAGTAAGGGAGGAGCAGGCATGTATATGAGAGGGCGCCAAAAAATTCATGGAAAATGGAATTTAAAGATACTGGAATTAAAAAAAAAACATTTTGAAGCTTCTTCATTCACTGACATTGAATCAATTCTGATCTTATAGATATGTGTGTGTATATGTCATATATATTTTATATTTTGTGACTTTAAGTATTTTTATAAATGGCACATCAACATGTTTTTGAGATCTATTCACCTTGATATAAATATCAGATTTATTTAGTTTAGTTTTATACAGTATATAACCAGACAAATAATACTGGATTCTATGTATTCATTTATATTTAAGTCATCCTCAATTTTATATTATTACAAACTTCTGAAACAAGTATCCTTGTGAATGTACTTATTTCTCTATGGTATATTACATCTACAAGTGTCGTTCTGGGTTAGAGAAGTGTCATTTCTGGGTTATGTAATTTTAATATTTTAGTCTAGATATTTTAATAATTTAAATCTAGATATTATAAAATTACTCTCTATATTCACTGACCATTATCCCTCCAACCTGTTCTCTAACACTAGTCAACTTTCTAACAGCCAACTGCATGTCATTATCATCTATAAGGATGCATTTCTATTCTACATTGCAACTTCATGACCAGTGTTATTATTACTAACTTCTAAGATGGCATAGGGTCGCTATGAGTTAGAACCAAGTCAATAATACCTAACAACAACAATAAGACTATAAGAAAACAGTTTGAAAAGTTCAACTATCAGGCCAACCTCAAAAATATTTGGTCTCATTCTGAGGGTGTCACAGTATTAAAGACTTTTTAGGTTAAATACCTTAAAAACAAAATGGCAAATATAAAATGAGAAGTTTTTTTACTTTAAAATATTTTCATTAAAATAATTTTATGTTTTTGCTTTAAAAGAATTTCAAAAAGAAATTATGTCATATTAGAACTACATTTTAAATTCTATAATGTGTAAAGGAATAATTTGCACAAGAACATTATAGAGTTTTAATAGCTTTTATTATTACTTATTATAGTAACCCAAAACAAGTCTATAGGTGAGCTGTTATATTATACATTTGTATTATTTAGTCATTTCCTTGAATATAAAGAATCATCAAAAGCACACTGAAATCTAGTAGGAGCTCTAAATTCAGCACCAGGGAAGTCCAGAATGGAATCAGCATAATATATGTAAGGAAAACAATGTTTTTATTCCTCAGGTATGAGTAAAGAGCTTGTTTGGTAATACCTGAAATAAGGAAATTTTTTTTCCCTAAGTAATTAACAGTGGATTTTAAAGAACTAGGTAAGAATGATATAACTTAAATGCAGGGTAGCACATGACTCTTAAATAATTCACCCAGCTAACCTGACAAAGGACAATATTCAAATGAAAGAACTCTTGAAAGAGAGCAAATATATATACAAACTACTTAAGAAACCCTGGCCCCACAAAGCTATTTGGCTATTGGATCTAGATACAGTCAAAGGCACCCAGAAAATATGACTGCTTAAAATTGGTGGACATTAATGATAAAATATTAGACAGGTACATACCATCACTCATCTGTTAGTTTGTTGTACTGTGGGTTTGTGTGTTGTTGTAATGTTGGAAACTACGCCACTGGTAATATCAAGCCCCAGCAAAGAGACCATGGTTAACAAGTTTTAGCAGTTTCCAGACTATCAAAATACTACCCAAAAAAGTAGGGTGACTGATTCTAAGGGATCAGTCACTGAAGGCTATGCACAGCAGCAGAATACTGTGAGACATGATTCACGGGCGAACTCACTGTCATCGAGTCAATTCTGACTCTTACCGACCATACAGGGCAGGGCAGAACTGCCCTGTGGATTTCCAAGACTGTAACTCTGTACAGGAGTAGAAAGCCTCATTTTTCTCCTGAGGAGTGGTTTCGAACTGCTGACCTTATGTGTAACCACTGTGTAACCACTATACCAGGAGAGCTCCTGGTGAGATATAGTGCTGGTATTATCAGATATTGTGCTGAAAGAGGAGTCTCTTAGGGTGGAAGGTATTCACAGTACAACTGGGGACAAGCTGTCTCCTCCATGTAGAGTCAACCTTAATGACATGGACAGAGTGGATGGAGCAAAGCTATTAGAACCTTCATTTGCCGATGAGACATGACCCAAAATGAGAAGCAAAAACTGCAAGCATCCATTAATAATCAAAACTTGGAAGGTATGAAGTATGAATCTAGGAAACTGGAAGACATCCAACATGAAATGGAATGCATAAAGATCAACATCCTGAGCATAAGTAAATGGATTGGACTGATATTGGCCATTTTGAGTCTGACAATCCCATGCATGGCATACTCTGCTGAAATGACAAATTCATGAGGAGTGGTGTCAGATTAGTCATCAGAACGAACATTTCAAGATCCATCTTGAAGTAAAATGCTGTCTAGGATAGGATAATATCTATATACCTATCAGGAGGACTAGTTCATGCAACCATTATTCAACTTTATGTACCAACCACTACATTAGGCAGTCATGAAGAAATTGAAAAATTCTACCAACTTGTTCAGTCTGGCATTACTCAAACATGCAATGAAGCATTAATAATGACTGGTGATTTGAGAGTACACGCTGGAAACAAGAAAGCTCAGTAGTTGGAAAACATTGCGGTTGTGATAGATCTAATGTTGGAGACTGCACGACAGACTTTGGAGATATGAATACCTGTGGGCCTCACCAGATGAAATATGCAGGGGGAAACCTCCCAGAATCGCCACCCACTCCCCCCAAAAGCTATGTGTTTACAGTTTTTTCCCTTTTATAACCCCTGTATTTACTGACTCCACACTCCCTTGCCCCAACTCATATACAAGCAAAAAATATAATTTGTGCAGCATAAGTTATTCAATGAGTAAAACCAATATCTACTAATAATCTTGGTAAAGCACAAATTTTCATTCTTCCAAATATTTAATAATTACCACACCTATTGACAATAATGAAAAATTCAATAAATTGTCTAAATAAGTCTGATATATTTTGTTTATTGTCATAATTTACATGTAAATTAAGTGTTTTAAGTATACAGTTCTATGAATTTGGCAAATACATATCTGGACAATTGCATATTTACAGGTTTTACAAAACAACTTTACCACCTTCAAAGTACTCTCCATTACATTCATTACATTTATCAAATCTGTGATTCCATTTTTGGAAACATTTTTCAAACTCATCTGTTTGGATGAATAACAGCACTCCCTCAGTTTTTTCTTCATCTCTTCTATATCATCAAATCACTGTCCTTTCACGTCCCTCTTCATTTCAGGAAACAAAAAGAAGTTGCACAGAGTGAGGTCAGGTGAGTAAGATGGGGCAAGAGAGGCATGCTGGTTTTTTGCCCAAACTGGAACACTAAGCATGAGCTGGTGCATTGTCATAGTAGTAAAACAAGTCCCCCATCTGCCACAAGTCAGGCATTTTTTGTCACATACTATTACGCAATCTTCTCAGAAGCTCTAAGTCAGTGGTTCTCAACCTTCCTCAATGCCGCAACCCTTTAATACAGTTCCTCAGGTTGTGGTGATCCCCAACCATAAAATTATTTTTGTTGCTACTTCATAACTGTAATTTTGCTACTGTTATGAATTGTAATGTAAATATCTGATATGCATGAGGTATTTTCATTATTACAAATTGAACATAATTAAAGCATAGTGATTAATCATAAAAACAATATGTAATTATATATTGTGAAATATTTATTTCTAAGTACAAGTAAATGAAATTTTGTCTTGTAGCATGGTGTAGCATGGGTAACAGTCTTCATGGCAGGTACTCGTATATGGGCGTATCTGCATGTGTGCGGGCCCACCTGGAGACGGATAGAGGAGTAAAATATGTGTTTTCTGATGGTCTTAGGTGACCCCTGTGAAAGGGTCGTTCAACCCCCCAAAGGGGTTGCGACCCACAGGTTGAGAACCGCTGCTCTAAATAGAAAAGTTGGTCAACAGTCTGACCTGGTGGACCAAATTCCAAATGTACTATCCCCCTGCTCACATAAAAAAAAGGCAAATGAGCATCATCTTCATCTTTGATTTCACTTGACCAGCTTTTTGGGGTGCGAGATGATGATGGTGTCTTCCACTGGCTTGATTGGTGTTTGCTTTTAGGGTCATAAGAATAGCACCATGTCTCGTCACCAGCAATGACCCTGAAAAAAGTCTGGGTTGTTTCCGAGCTGTTCTTTTAAAGCACAAGGTGTTTCCACTCATGTTCTTTCTGCTGGTCAGTCAGAACCTGAAGCACAAATTCCACAGCGACCCTTCTCATTCTCAAATCTTCTGTTAAAATTCGCTGAACTGAGCTCCAAGACAGTTCAGATAGCTCCCTATCTTTTCAATGATCTGTCGTCAGTCTTTGAGCACAAGTGCATGAATTTTGTCCACATTTTCATCCATTTGAGAAGTTGACAGACATTCTGAAAAAGGTTTGTAATCAATTGACATTTCACCTTTTTTGAAATGAGAAAACCATTCATACACTTGAGTTTTTCCGATAGCATTGTCCTTGTAAGCTATGTTTAATATCACAACTGTTTCTGTGGCATTTTTCCTGAGCAGGAAACAAAATTTCACAGCCGCACGCTATTCTCTAAAATTGGCCATCACAAAAAACAAGATTCGAGTGAAACTGCTTCTACGAAAAAATTCACTGTGACCAGAGAGAACCTTTCCAGGTGATGCCACTGGGTGTATCAACTCAGAGCGAGTTGCTCAATGCTTGCCTAAAGGGAAAAATGTGTACTATGAAAGCTCTGCCTAACAGAGCTTTTTTCTGTTTTGTTGGGGGTTGGGGGTACCCCCTTATATATAACATAGGAATCAAACTGACAACATCTGTGGGAAGAGACAATGAAGAAGCTCAGTATGATCAGTCAAAAACAAGGACAGGGGCCAACTGTGGAATAAAGCATCAATTGCTCATATGTAAGTTCAGGTTAAAGCTGAAGAAAACTGAAACAAATCCATGAGAGCCAATACACAACTTTTAATATTTCCCCTTGATTTTCTAGACCATCTCAAGTACAAAAAGCACTGGAAGCCCTTAATAGTCTATGCCAAGAAGTTTGGAAGACAGTTACCTGGCCGACTAACTGGAAGAGATCCGTACTTGTGCCCTTTCCAAAAAAGGTGACCCCACAGAATGTGGAAATTATCAAACAATATCATTAACATCAAACGCAAGTAAAATTTTGTTGAAGATAATTTAAAAATGGCTGCAGTAGCACATTGACAGGGACCTGCCAGAAATCGAGTCCGAATCAGGAGAGGATATGGAACAAGGAACATCATTGCTGACATCAGCTGAATCTTGGTTGAAAGCAGACTACCAGAAAGATGCTTATTTGTATTTTATTAACTATGCAAAGGCATTCAACTGTGTCAATCATAACAAATTATGGATAGCATTGAAAAGAATGGGAATTCCCAATCACATAATTGTGCTCATGTGGAATCTGTACACAGACCAAGAGGTAATAGTTGGAATAGGCCCCGGGAACACTGACTGCCTGGTTTACGATCAGGAAAGGTGTGTGTTAGGGCTAAACCTTCCATCATAGTTACTCAATCTAAATGCTGACTACAAGAACAAGACATCAAGACGGGAGGAAGGCTCGTTACCAAGCTGTGATACGCAGTGAGATATTTTATTGTGCCAGCCTGGCCGATAAACACAAGTGGGATTAACTGAAGGGCAGAGAGATAAATGGCTTGGTGAGCCTCGCCTTTCTTGTCATTCACTCTTTGATCATTGGACCAGTGTGCAGCTGCCTTGCTTGTTCTGTGCCTCAATTTAAAAGCTACACTACCTGTGGGACGCCTAGCCTGTGGACTGTGTCCCTGTAAGTTGAGGTCCCTTTAAGACATCTCTGGAGGTGGGGACTGGCGGTTGGTGACCTGCCTTGTGATTGGCTGCTGTGCTGACATAGCCTACCTCTCTCTATAAATAAAGGAAGATCTGGCAGCAGAGTAGACTTGAAGGACTGCTAGTCTCTCACAACTCTGTCACAGGAGTGAGTTGCATTGAGCCATTTGTAGTGCTTTATAATTTAACTGTTTCTTTCTTGTATTATATATTTATCTGTATATGATTTAACAGTTAATTTCTTGTTATATATCTAATTATCTTTATAAATAAATATATTAAATTATCAGCAATTTGGTTTTATCTCTTTAGAGAACCCTAACACACGCAGATAACACAACCTTGCTTGCTGAAAGTAAGAAGGACTTGAAGCACTTGCTGTTGAAAATAAAAAAACGAATAATCCCCATAACTGGACTAATAGATAACATGACAAGTGGAGGAAAGCTTGAAGTTGTCAAGTATTTCCTTTCCTTCTTTCCTCCCTTCTCTTTCTTTCTTTTCTTTTTCAATTATGTATGTGGTCTTTATTTTTCAGGCTAGCCTGGACTGCAGAGGGAACCTTTAAAAGGGGGTTGGTCTCTGGCCACTCCTTTTCTATCATTTAGGGGGCTTTCATAATTACTTCATGATTGCTCTCTTGGTATAGTTTTATTATTGGTTAGCATATGCTTCTTTTAGATTCTCTGGGACCGCCATGACTTCAGCAGCCAGATCCGTGCAGAGAGAAGTAAGTATTTCATTTTAATTGGATCCACAATCAATCCTCATGGAAGCAGCAATTACAACACTAAACAATGTATTCCACTTGGAAAATCTGGTGGATCTGCAAAGATGTCACTTTGAGAACTAAGGTGCTCCTGACCCAAGCCACGTTATTCTCCACTGCCCCCTTTTCACGTGAAAACCGTACACATGAATGAGGAAGACCAGTGAAGAATTGATGAGTTGGCATTGTGGGGCTGGTTAAGAATTCTGCAAGTACCACACACTGCCAGAAGAACAAACAAATCTGGTTTGGGGAAAAAATACAGCCAGGATACTCCTACGAAGTGAGGATGGCGCTACTTTGACTCACATACGTTGTACATGTTATCAGAGGAAACCAGTCCCTGGAAAAGGCCATCATGCTTGGCAAAGTAGAAGATCAGTGTAAAAGAGGATACCCCGAACCAGGTGATTGACAGGTTCAGACACGGTGGCCGTTGTAGGACGAGGCACCGTTTGTTCTGTTGTGCACGGGTGACTATGAGTTGGAACCAACTGGACAGCACCCCACACAACAGCATTCCCTGCATGTCAACAAAGACACATTTCCTACATGCTGTTTGAAAGCCATGGAAAATGCCTGTAAATCATACCAAACTTAAGCTGTCAAATTCAGTAACAAAGGCTTAAAATTAAACTTAAGGCTTAAACTTTAAATCTCTTAGATGCAGAACATAATTTTACAAGGAAAATAAAGTCTGCAAATCAACAGGTAACAGAAGCATCACTTACCTGTATAATGAACAGCAAATAGAAACCCTAACCTGGACAGACACTGTTTAGTTTCTTACCTTTTATATCTTACTCCAGGATTTTCATCCAGGGTGGCACATACTGTAACTATCTGCTCAGCCATCACTTCCATAATGGCATCTTTTTCATTTGCATTATTAGGGTCTGGACTGTAACAGTAATAGAATGCATCTGGTACATCAAGAGTATACACCTAAATCAGACCAAGAAAGGCACACCATCAACCTGGAGACTAGATTTTTAAAGTAAGTCAGGACAAAGCAGCTAGTACTTGGGACTGTAGAAAATGTAAAAGACACTTGTACTAAACATAGTGTTTCTTGAAACAACTGTTTTTACCTTAGTCAATCTCATTTTCTGTCACCTTGATCTTATTTATTTTGTTGTTCATACACACAATAAAACATAGACCAATTCAACAGTTTCTACTTGTACAATTCAGTGATGCTAATTACATTCCTCAAGTTGTGCAACCATTCTTGTCTGGATTATCTGAGTTGTTCCGCCCTCATTAATATAAACTCGATACCCCCTCCCATTTCCTATTTAATCTTTCAAGTTGCCAGTCAATTCGATCCTGCTTAACCAAAATGAAACTCACTGCCATGAGCTGATGCTGATTCATAGCAACTCTACAGATAGTTCTTAAAAGCAGACCGTGCTCAAGAGAAAATCCTTGTTTACTAGTTAAGCTAAACTATTGTTCCACTTTTAAATGACTTCGGGAATATTTGGTTTAAGGTTTAAAGATGATCTTAGAGCAACAGTCTCAGGGGCTCACTCATTCTCCATGGCTCCAAAAAGTCTAGTCTATGAGAATATGAAATTCTGTTCTGCATTTCCCTCTTTTGATCAAGATTCTTTGATCAAAATATTTAATAATGGTAGCCAGTCACCATCTAGGTCTCCTGGCAAAGGCTGTTGCTCATCGTGACAATTAGCCACGTAGCTCATATCATCCTCCTATTCTGATTTTCCTTCCTCATTGTCCCAAAGAAACAGAGACCGATTGTGCCTTGGATGGCTACGTGCAAGCTATGAAGACCCCAGGCACTTCACAAAGAACCAAGAGGTAGAACAGAAGCAAGAAGCACTACAAATGCTGTTAGACCAGCAGTTCTCAACCTGTGGGTCGCAAACCCTGTGGGGGTCAAACAACACTTTCATAGGGGTCACCCGAAGCAAAATTACAGTTATGAAGTAGCAACAAAAATAATTTTATGGTTGGTACGTCACCACCACATGAGGAACTGTATTAAAGGGTCTTGGCATTAGGAAGGTTGAGAACCACTGCTAGGCCAGTTAACTGAGATGCCCCAAGGAACCATGACCCAAAACCTTCCAATCTTCAAACCAAATCCCATGAGGTGTTTGGTTGTAATAAGCTACATCTGCAGCAAATTTTTTTTGGGGGGGTGGGGGTGTCGTTTCTTATAAATATGTCTATCTAACTTTTTACAAGTGTCTACCTCGCTGACAGCAGTTACAATAATTGGCTCTGCAACCCCATTCTTAATTACGGAGATTTTTCCATCACCACTACCCTCCTTTCCTTCCTCTCACTGCCACCTGATAATCACTAATAAACTCTGGTCTCTGTCTATCTGCCTTTTTTTGACTTGATCTAAGCGAGGCCATAGAGGATTTGTTCTTATGATTGACTTATTTCTTCCAACATGTCTTCATGCTCCACCCATACTGTCGCACACAGCAAGTTCTCGTTTCTCCTCCTGGAATCAGTAGCGTTCCACAGTATGGATGTACACTTAGTTTGTCCATTCATCTGCTGATGGGATTGAGGATGCTCCCACCTTTCGGCTATTGTGAACAGTGCTGCAATGACTACCAGTGTACACCTCTCTCTCTGAATCTGTTTTCAATTTTTGGGGGATATATAACTAAGAACGGAATTCTTGGGTCATAGGGTAGCTCTATGTTTAGTGTGTGCTTTAAGAAACTGACACACAGTTTTCCATAAGGTAATACCATTTTGCTTTCCCATTAGTAGTGGATTAGTGTTCCAATGTCCCCACTTCCTACCCAAGGTACCTACTTTATGTCTTTTTTTTTTAATCCTAGGGGAGGTAGTTGTATCTCATTGTGGTTTGATTTGCATCTCTCTGAAGGTTAATGATGTTTTGATGTGTTGTTGGCATCTGTATGCCATTTTTGTTGACATGTTTATCCAAGTCCTTTCCCGGTTCATGACCGGGGTATTTGTCTTTCTGCTGTTAAGCTTCAATGTCTTACAAGTATTTTGATCATTAGATATTTGTTGGATATATGGTCATTGTTTTCACACTTTCCTGTTTCAACTCTGTCCTGTTTAGTCTAATTCTTGTGTCTTTTATAGATTGTACTGTTTCCTTTTCACTACATGTCCAATAAATGGCTGAAGGAACTGGAGGCAGTCTGAAATAAAAATCTGCTATCTGGTACACAGAAATACAATAAAGCAAAAAACGGGCCTTATATTAGACATTATTAATTTTCCATAGATGATCATGTATTTCAATTCTATAGCTTATATTCCTATGTCCTTAAAATTGGAATCTACTATCCAAAATGGGATGGCAGTGTGCCGCACTAGTATGTCTTGAAATATCTTCTGTGAAATATTACAGACACAATAATTCAACCAAAATAAGTATTTATTTATGTGCAAAGACTGTATTAAAAGTTCAAGTCTCCCCTTTTCCTCCTTTCTAACGCTCCCCACCCTGCCATGAAACGTTCTTTAGACTACTGGCAAATGCTTTCTTCATCTCTGCCATCCACAATCTGCTTCCTAAGTACAGACACGCTTCCTCCTGCCACCCTGCTCTTCACACTAGTTCAGCTCCACTTCTACCTCCATCCTGTCTAGATCCTGTCTAGCATCTGTACCAGGCTTTGTAGTCCTGAAGATCAACTGTTCAGAAACTCACCTATTTTTTAATACTTCCCATGTACTTGCAAAAAAAAAAGTATACCTCACATTATTCCTTACGTTAAACCCTCTCCAATGTGAAGAGAATCTTTCCTTAATCCTTCTAACTCTTGGAAAAGGAGGAGTGGGTCAATTTTCTTCTACTTCGTGTCATTTCTAAATAATGGTGAATGTTCAACTTTGTGTCTTTGGAGCACTACCATACCAGACACTACCAATCTCTCCTGATTCATGGAGTTCCACTCTTCCTAAAAGGGGCCTTGGTAGTACAATGGGTTATAAGCTTGGCTGCTAACTGCAAGGTCAGCAGTGTGAACACACCAGCTTTACCTCTGGAGATAGATGAGGCTGTCTCCTCTTATGAAGATTTATAGCCTCAGAAAGTCCCGGCAGCAATTCCACTCTGTCTTATAGGTTCACTATGAGTAAGAATCAACTTTATGGCTGTGTGTTTATTTCTTAATCTTCTTCTTGAAGGAGCACTGGCATTGTTTGCAGGTAAACATTGGCCTTATAACTTCAAAGTCAGTAGTTCAAACCCACCAGCCACTCCAAGAGAGAAAGATGATGTTATTCAATCCCACAAAGATTTACACTGTGCACAGGGTCTCTGTGAGCCAGAATCACCTGGGCGGCAATGGGTTTGGTGGGTTTATTTTGGTTTGGTTTACTTTTCCTTAAAGACTTTAGGATGGCACTCATCATTGACTGCTCCAGCCCATTTCCTGCCATCAATGTTGGTGGAATTTGAAGCCTCCTACAATATATAGAAAGCTTCCCTACAGAGACAGTCTTGTTAGTGTACCTGTACCCTACTGCTCTCATTCCTATTCCTTCTGCTCTTCTGCACAGTTTGGCCCCTGTAACTTTGTATTTACACTATTCTCACCTGCTGGATTATCTTGTCTCTCTTCATGTCTGTCTTATAAAATCCTACTGATTATTCCACTCTTTCCCCAATTTCCATGTAAGAATTCATTTCTTCTTGTAACAATGACTGTGATCTGCTTCCCCGGTAGCCATTCTCCCATTACTTTCCAATAACCAAACAATAAAACCAAACCATGAGTCAATTCTGACTCATAGCAACATCCCAATTCTGTGTGTGTGTGTGTGTGTGTGTGCGTGTG